AGGCATTGTCGGTGGTGTTGTATGTACTGGAGCTTTGGATGCTTGTACTGTTTTCGGAATATTACTCCTATCCTTCCTCCTTTCTTTTTTTGTAAGCAACCCCACTGCATCTTCAACGTTCTTCCACTTCGTTGTCAATCCTTCATCTTCTTCTTTGTCTTCAAGAAGGGGTTCTAATTTCTCTTGCAATTCTCCATCAGCAGCTTGAAGAAATAGATCAACTTTATTCGGCTCCAATGTCAATTTTTCTACCTTCGATAATTGAGAGTACTGCCTCTCAAATTCCCTTAGTAGCTCTGTTGCTTGCAAATTCTTATTGGGCCGTTCAATCCATCCCAGAAACAGCTTCTTAGTAACGCGATCAGCATCTTCCAAGAAATATTCGTCTTTCAATGCATGTGAAAAATCCTCCCATGAATTCCCACAATGATCCGTAATCGATGTAATGTGGTCCCTTATCTCCGGTATCATGGCAAGTCCAAATAGTGCAACCATTTTCTTCTTAGAAACCTGATTTAATTCCATTTCACGAACATAACATCTTAAATACCTTGAAATATTCCTCCCATCAAATTGATCAATTTTATTGACCACTGCTTGCAATGCTTTGGTTGCCAAAGCTTCCTTTCGATCATTGCTTTGCTGTTGCTGCATTGACAATGAGAAGGCTTGAAACAAACTAGCAATAGACGGATCCATGTGCATACCTTGTCCTTTAGAAGACTCCCCACCAGAAACTTCTCCCAAAAATCCTTCAAAATTTTTATTTTCGTTTTCCATAAAAATAAAGATAAAAACAACCGAAATCCAATACCTTCTACCTCAAGCTTTCACGTCGGGTTCACCACTTATGTCGTATTACGTGTTTTCCTGCTCGAGAACGCGCCGGGCGTCTGGCTGTAGAAGGTAGTATGGAGATTTGCCGATAGTCAAGCAGTCTATCAATTTTTGACTGCTGGAATATAAACGACTGCAACAATGTACCGTAAATCTATACGGGTGCTCTTCGACTGCTTGTCGAAGTCCTTTTTGCCCCAGCCGGTAGGTCTCTAGACGTTACAGAGAACCCCGTACAACCCAAACTGTTAACCTTCAATACTGCTTTGTACTTACGATCTTGTATCCACTGACTGTCTTGTTAGATTAACCCAATAAATTTCATTCACTCCGCATACTCAATCCTATAGACACCCTTTTAATCCTTCAATCACAGACGTAACTCGATTTCACAAAACAGTCAAGAGTATTCAAACCCACTTCATTTAAATACCCACTTCAGCAGCGATTGCCTCAGTCTTCCCCAAAACTCTATGAAGAAGAAAAATCCAAATTCTATGTCTTTCCTTCCCCGACCCGAAGCATGAAGCTCCTCTCTCTAATTCCCCTGATCTTCAAAAAACCTCCAATGAAAACCGAACTGGTAACCTTGCAGAAGCTTGAAAACTAGCTCCCCCCTCGATTTCCCTCAAAAAAAAAAAACCCACCCCCAAAATTATATCCCACCTAACTTTATCCTCTGAATTTCTTCAATCTTCCGTCTTAGATCCGAAATTGGCTCCCACCTCAAGCTTGGATCCGAAATTGGCTCTCGCCGTCAAGCTTTCTCCTCCGTTTTTGCCTTTAAGAAATCCATTTACCGAAAACAACGTTCCCTGAGACGGCACAGAGAACAGGACAGCCTGAAACAGAATCAAACCCCGTAATCGGGACCACATTGAGTCGCTCGACCAATTCAAGTCCTATATTGGGAAAGATGCCCGTAGTAACCTGGATGTTCCCGTAATTAGGTCAAATTGGTCCTCGCGTCAGATTGGCTAAGACCCATAGTAAGACCTGGATTTCCCGTAACTAGACTGCATTGAGTTGCCCCACCAATACAGGTCTCATATTGGGTAAGAGGACCCGGATTGGATTATCGAAATTGGATCCAATTGGCTCCTCGAACCCGTCGTGTGAATTGGTCCTTCTCTTCCTGCTGACTCCCGTTATTGGAATTGAATGGGGCATTTCAGTATGCTCCGGCTGACTGTAACGGAGTCACTGAACCTGACCACTCAGTATTTGTACTGGAGTTGGTCGATGCTCCCAATATTCGAGGTAACTGAATATTAATAAAATTCCCCTTTCTTTTTTATTTTCATTGTATACTCGTGTTACAACATGACAGCGTGGTCATATGTCGATTTGAAAGGGATTCCTGTTAACGTGTGTGAGCACCAGATTATTCTAGAGGAGGGTGTTACGCCAGTTCATCAAAGACAACACTGGCTTTATTCAAAATATTCTCTTTTAGTGAAAGAGGAATTGGATAAACTTCTCGACATGGATTTTATTTATCTTGTTCCGCATAGTGCATGGGTGTCGCCAATCGTGATGGTACTGAAGAAGAATGGAAAAAATCAGGATATGTTAAGATTTTCGAAAGTTATATGCGGCGACGAAGAAAGATTACTTCCCATTACCTTTCACAGACAGTATGGGTAACATGTTGTCATTATCACTAGGTACTAAAAGAATAGGAGTGGGACACCAGTTAAAGTCATTCTATATTGTTGTTTTGGATTGGCTGGAGTGCCATTTTCTTGTCTTTCTTGTATTTTTGAGAGTAGTAGTTTGAGTTAAGAGTTAACAGTGAGGAGCCGGTCACAAGTATCGATTGAAGATATTCCAGAATAGATGAGTCAACAACAGCAACAATTAGAACTTTGGGATGTCCAGATCTTAAAATTGAAAGCTCAAGTCCGTGAACTAGGTGAGTACAATGAAGACCTTTCAGCTCAGTTGAGGCAAGAGCCAATGAAAGGATTGGAGGAGGACGAAGATTTGCAGTTGGAATCGAAATAGATGGAACCAATAACAGATACTGTGGCAATTGATTAATTAGATAGACCAGAGGGATTACAATTTTTGTAGAGTTTCATTAGTAGTTTTTGGATAGGTATCAATTGAGTGTTGGCAAAGATGCTGCATAGATAGGAATGGGGCTATATAGAATAGATATTAATTCATTTTGAAAGATATTGATAAAATATATTAATAGTCCATATAATAGAAAATTCAAGAAGATGGATGAGTGATTTAATTATTAAAAGTGGTTAATTATAGAATTACGATTAGAATCTGGAGAATCAAGAAAAAATATATAGGAGTTATAGAAGTTAATTAAAGTGCGATCACTGTAGTAGTGTGAGCCGGGATAAGCTTGGTGCTATCTCTTTTCTTTTGTTTGTTATTTTCTTTCAATAAGAGGATTGAGAGTTTCTGAATATTGTGAAGTGAATTATAGAATAAAAATATAATTGGTATTATTTGAGAAGAAAAAAGATTGAATGCTGAAATCTATTTATAGTTCAGCAGAGAGAATGAGTCTGTGTTTGTATGAAATACTGTAATATGAATGGCAGTTCTCTGTGAAAAATTCCAGTGATTGGAACGAGGGTAATTGTGTACTGAAAGCTGTGAGGGCACAGTATTACAATCGAAGATTATGAGGGTGAATATATTGGTGGAAATAGCAGTTATTGGCATGAATGAATTGCTGTAAGGAAGAGACCGATAAGGTGAAGGAGGAGATTATAGTTTCCTTGTGTGTTTAGATATTAGAAATAGAGACGATACATTCAAGAGGTAATTGATTGTGTGACCCTAACGTGAACGCTTAAGCAACTAGTCATTCCCCGTGTTTGAATCCCCCTATACGGATTTATTCTGGGAGGTTTCTTCTGGAATAAGTAAAATGAGCAACCACAATAATATATAAAATTTCCATCCTTAAATTATTAATAAGTTTATAAAGATTTATAATAGTTATAAATCTATTCTTTCTTCTATCAAATATAGCATTTATAATTACTTTTTTAAAAATTTTGCAACAAACAACTTTGACAAGTCTATAATCTATATAGATAATTAAAAAAAGGTAATCTATAAGTTCTAATATCAAATAAAAATTTATTCAAAAGAAATAGTCTATTTTAAAAAAAAAATCAATGTTAAAAATATTTATTTAAATATGGATAGTCTGTAACTTTTAAAGCACAAAAAGAGAAGTAGAATAATTTATTTACTTCTAAAATAAAATGAGAATAGTAAATTAACACTCTTATCAAGCTGGCAAGGATATGAATAAAAAAATCAAAAAAACAATACATTCTTGTATTATTAAAAAAGAGAAGATATTCATTCAAAAATAATATAATGTTAAAATTAGAATAGCTCTTGCAAAAGACAAGAAGACTAGAAACTCTTATGATACAAATAAGAAAAAAAAATGTATTGACAAGAATGAAGAAGGCTTCACTTTTGCATGTACATATACCTTTCATGTAGTAGCAGAAATGATTTCTTACAATTTTTACAATAATTGTCCATCCTAATGGAGGAATATTCTTCACTAAGACTATCTCCTCCTTGTTGCGGAGTCATTCCTCGCATGAATTGTACAATCTGAATGTCAAAAAAAGTGCATGCACTCAATATGTTAATCTTTTCCAGATCCAGATGTTTGCCAGCAGATTCTCATAACTACCAAATTCCTGAGGCTTATGTTTGTGTGTTCTTCGAAACTATCTCTACTGTTCACAATTATACTGGTGGTCAGCTCACTATCTAAGGGTTTCTGCAACGAAGATTCCTCATGAGGAAGCGAAGCCTCGACATGGATTCAAACTAGGACTGTCCTGAAAAACCGCCACAATATTGCCAGGGAAAGTCATGAGAATATATTAATATTACTTTGAGCATGCCACTTACTTCCGACTGTGGACGGACTTGTTCGTTCACAGCACCTTCATTAACCCAATTCATGATTCTTTTCATGACCGTGCTTTATCGCCATGCCATGTCTAACATTAGAAATTGCTGCTTGCGGGATGGTGACCTTTTCTGTTTCACAGCATCTTCTGATTCTCGTTATTCAAGTTCGGGTTTGTTGTGTATTCAGGTTGGATTCCTGCTCGAATGCGGTTTTTCTTTGGACGTTTTATACAGACAGCCTCTTCCCTTGCCGGCCCTGTGGCAAGTGTTAGCCAGCGCCCAAGCTGTTTGTTTTGCGGTGGCTCATGATTCGATCGCACAATGCTTGCGCGAAAACCCAACTTTTTACTTGTTTATTTGTGAACCTCCTAATCTGCTTTCCGACGGACGATATCATGGGCACTGGGTGTGGATTGTAGTTTGGGCCACAGAGTAAGGACGTTAAAAGTATTTTTTAGTCGTAATGTTCTCTTGTCTGAGCACTGACCATGTTTAACTTCTTCGTATTTTTCTATTCATCCACGCTGTCTCATGCTCTGAATGCTTGGATTTACGTGGAATTCGTGGTGCTTAGTTGGTATCATCAGTATCTTCATGAACCGTAGGATTTGTATCTTCGGGAGATCAATGTCAAGGAATTTGTGATTTTGAGTTACACTGAAGGTGCTGGGAGGAAGAATTTCGAGGCCCGCATCTCGGATCTCGACGCATTAACAGATAGAGGGTGTGATGGACACATCCAAGAAATGGTCCAAAGGCAATAAGAGAATCTCACCTGTATTTCTAAGGTGGAGACCAGCGGAGGCATGGCACATCGTTCGAGCGCATCCATGGCTCATGTTTTTGTTTATCAATTTTGCATTGGTGATACCGCTTGAGTACAACATTAGTATGATAGAGCCTAGGGGTGAACCCTATGATGCTGGTTTTGTGATTACTAAGAGGATTCACAACATCTTAGAACTGAGACCCACCTTGAATCATGTCCTTGCTGCCGCGAATACGGTGAGTTCACGTCGTTGGCCCTTATTCCTAGACTACTTGCGTTCATGATAAATTGTGAGTTCTGTACTGTTTTAGGGTCAGGCCATCGTTGTCAAGGCATGATCTTAAAACCTTACAGAAACGCAATGTGTGAACAGACGAATCAATTCGGTCAAATTCTCCTAGCCAAGAGTATATCTTTGTCTTGGTATAACGCCAGTGGAGTTTGCCAGGTATAGAAGATTTCGTGGAATGTATTGCACAAACAGGGTGTGACCATCTGACTACATTTCTTTCTGAATGGCGTTTGATTTAGACAGGCAATCGTGTTAAGTTTCCGAGAGGATCATGTGTCTGTTTTGAGGGAGGCTGTTGCGTTGGTAATGAACATATGCAGGCTCTGGTGGTATTCCAAATAGTGTACATCGCGTGGGCGTGGGTAGTCGAGGGCCGATTCCGTCCCGTTCTTGCGTCGGCGTTCATGTTCAGTAGCCGCGGCATCCTTGGCTACTCCACCCAACTCCCTGTTCCCCAGGTTTGTTTAACTAGTCCGGCACCCTTGTTCTGCTTTGCTATGGTCAGCTTTGTTGTACTTGTAGCATTTCAATACTTCACACTTGGGAAATCTGCCTCTCCTCTGCACATATTTAAAGTACTTTCATTACACGTCCCATTTGGTCCCTAGGCTCACAAGTAATTCTCACGTATGTTCGAAATTGTTGTGATGACAGGAGTTTCTGGGATCTGGGGTAGACTTTCCAGTTGGACATGTTTCTTTTTTTCTATTCTTCTCGGGGCATGTGGGAGCCTCCATTATTGCTACCTTGGATTTACGATGTGTGAATCGGGTACGGGGAGCTCTAGTGATGGATATGTTGAATGTACTGCAGACGATGCGACTGCTAGCCACACGGGGTCATTACACTATTGACCTTGTTAGTGGAGCTTTTGCAGGGTGGGCTTGTTACCACTTGGCTGGCTTGTGCGAAGAGAGGATCAAGACCCAGTCTTCCAGTGTCGCAGGGGTTTCTGATTATATTGATTTGAATCTCTAGGAGGCAACCAGCAGTTTATGAGCGCTTCGATGTATCTGGGTGCTGTGTTACGAATTCTAACTAACCTCAAGCTAAGCTTCTTTAACAAGGAGATTGATTTCCATTGAAAATGGATCGCCTGGATGAGCTTGGCATCAAGACCCAGCCGTGTTCTTGACACAGCCTTGTTCTCTAGTGATGGGAAACATTTGTTGGAAGTCATGCGCTGCTAAAGCTGTTCTTTTCAGGTCTCTGGTTGCCCCTGTTCGACCCCGATTCAGATATTCTGGAAAAAGATGTGCTGGTCTGTAGTGAGACCCGAGTCTATGATTATGGTCCTTGGAGTCCATGATGGTGTCCTCGCCTTTCATCTTAGGGACCTGGTTCAGCTTATCTGATTTTGCCCTAATCGATTAGACAGGCATCAGTCATGTTTGATATCTCAGACTCTCTTTTTGCCATTGAACTCTTTTAATTCAACTATTCCTGGTTTCTCATCAGTTGAAACATATTTCACCACTGCAAGTATATCAAGAAAAATGACGTGCTTGCAATATTTTGTCAGTAGGATCTTACGTGTTGCACGGATTTCATGGTCGTGCTACTGTTGTTGGGGCTAAGGTCCACCTCATCTGATGGTCTTCCAAAACGGTGGACGCCACAATGAACCACTATGTGATCTGAAGTAGCCCTGGGGTTCAATGTCCTGCTCTGGTGCATTTCGTTCTGCGTCTTGAGAGCGATGCTTTGGGATATGGCGACATGTTTTTGTAGAAATTATTTTTCCTTATCATTATCAGTTTCGAAATGATTATCAGAACTCTGATTATGTGGATGGTAATGGTTCGGCAAAGTGTGCATTTAACACATTTCGGATTGTTCTTCTTTCTCAAAATCTCAAGATCGTTACGAAAAAGTCGCAGCCGGCTCTGTTTCCTTGGTGTCAGTCCACAAATGTTCGATGCGACGGTGGATGACGAAATTCTGCTAACATTCTTGTCCATGTGTAAACATTTTGAAACGCCCACCGGACTAATTTTTCGCAAGCTGGGAATCAATTCTGTGGTACATTTCTCCTCAAATAGAATGAAGAGGACTTGCAGCGTCTCTCGCCTACTTTCATCCGTAGGGGTCAATGCTCCCAACCCTAGAATAGGGGGATGCACGTTTAAACTCGCTTGAGCCATTCGAACGGTTACCTTTTCGTTAGAGGATATCAGTTCAGAAAAGTATCGAAATTAATTCGCTTATTTTCGGTTGCAATTTGTGCGGGGTGCATTCAAAGATTTAACTGATTCCTCAGAACATCTCGATGCTGCAGTAAGTGCGGCTGTGGATGCATTGACAAAGTGAAATCATCCCACAAGCACACCGCCATGACTCAAGAACTTCTCCAAGCACACGTGCCAAATCCATAGCGCATTGCTCAATAAACCTTGACCCAAGCTTCATCGCAAACGTTACTGCGACTCCTGCTTGCTGCACAAAACTATGTCTCCATCTGCGCTTTGAACGTGCTACTTAGTTAACTCGAGCCATGGATACCCGTTGCAAAAACAGATTCGTTGCTACAACAAAAGAAAAATGGGACCTCAACCAGTATTGGTATTCCGCAAATACAATAGCTTCATTAAAGAAGGAAGTCCAGGAACATGCAACAAAGGTTGCTTTTTTATCGACTCCCAGTGTGTGGTTTTCCCTCGAGAATTCTGACATCAAAAATCGCAGCTTCTTTTTTGATGTACCATTCCCTCATTTCCTCATTTCCTTATTGATGATTTGTCTTTGGATCAGATCGTCATCGTGTAAGAATATTGTTGTGAGTATTACTCTGTTTTTTCATAAATTTGTATGATAGTTTTTGCCTTGTTTTTGTGATTAACTAGAGTGAAGCTGCACACTGGATGAGCCTGCAGGTGGATTCGCAATGGGAAAAGCACTCTAACTTTGTCTACTGGAACTACAATCAACCAAGTGAAGTAGATCGAACGATGCACCATCAGTTTGACTGTGTGGTAATTGATCCCCCCTTCGTTACAAGAGAGGTGTGGGCCAAATACTCCGAGGCAGCTCTGTTGCTTCTCAAAGAAGGCGGAAAAATCATTTTGAGTACTATCCCTGAGAATGCAGAGATGTTAAAGCACATGCTGAATGTGAAGCGTCAAGCATTCCAACCTTCCATTCCTCATTTAGTGTATCAATACGCCTTTTTTACAAACTACGAGTCCGCTAACTTCTCTTTTCCCAATCCCGAGGTTGACAGCTGAATCCATGGGAACTGCGCATTCCGCATTCTCAACTTGTTATTCACAAATCTAATTATGTGATTGATCATCCATTGAGCAGAATCTTCCAGAAATGCTAGATGATGCCTTGATTATTTATGCAGAGCATCGCAGAGTTTACGATCACCTGTCGTGAATTGCATGTCTCCCCCTATTCTCCAAAATCATGGAGTGAGTAATTCTGAAGGTAACAACTTTGTCACAGCTCCCTTCAATGCGCTGCCAATTTTCGATAATGTATTAGTTTGTGAACAGAATCCTCCCTCCAAAACTTCTTTGAAGAAAAAGATTTAACCAGTACAATAAAGCCAGTGGCTACAGATGCGAGGGATGCCATGCTGCCCCTTCAGAATGACAGCAAACGATATGATCAATTCAGTCAGATTGAGCAGTCCTTACCAGGACCGCTCCTCGACATCCTTGCGGAGATGATGATGCTGAAATTTATACCTCCAGTTGTTTCAGCACTTCGGATTTTTTCTGCCACTGCAACGACTCTTCGGAGGATCTGAAGAACTTAATCTGGAAATTCTTGTCAACGTCTTGGAGAATTATTCTGTGGATCCATCATGCTGGATCGGAGCCCAGCAGCAGGCGGGCACGAGTCCTTCAAATGTCCTTTGTTTTGCAGTCTCATCGGATGCCAATGAGAAGCTACTGACTGATATTTTGCAGTTGTTTTCCAAATCAGTGCACACATCATGCTGGACAGAGTTGCAAGTCAGACACTAAATGTACAAACTCCAGCAGAATGAAAAGAGGCACGATCTTCATATATGGTGTGTTGGACGTCGACCGAAACGCTAACTACGACTGTTTGACTTGCCTGGTGATAACACCACTCCACACCAACGTCACTAGGATATTCAGGAGATTTGGTTTGAGGCAGTGGATTGGCAAACTCTGACTATGGTTTTTCTAGGGCATGCTTTCGAATAAGCAACTTGAGTTTCTAGAAAATTCTCAAATGCAGAACAGCTTACTCATCTTTCAATTCTCTGGCACATTCAGGTATTTGCCTGAAGGTGGATTCTCTTCTTTCGTGGCATCACTAATTTTTTTATCACAGAAAGTCACCCAGATTGCTGAAACACATGTTACTAATTGTTGTCATCCATCCTCATTCCATTCATGTGCTTTACAGAAAAACGTTTCAACCCATGAAATCTCTCACTGCATTTCCAGTCGTCTTTTTTGATGGAAGTAGAGTCACGGAGCACACATTACGCTAAAGTACAAGTGGTATATTTCGCACCCTGAGGGACACTTTCACAGTTGATGTCAGTCTAACAATGTCATTGTAGTTAGATCTAAATTAATGTGGTTTTGCAGAAATTTGGCTACGGCCACTCCCGGAATTCGCCGTTTGTACAAGTTTTCATTAATTTTGCTAGGGACTTACGATAAAACAGGAAGGAAAGGTAGGGATGGAATGCAGAAGCACACGTACGTCAGTGTCCTTTCATCAGCGATATATCGTCCTCGTCGTCGTCATCTCAAGCTCTCTCGTTTGCTTGCTACGTATCTTTGATGTACACCTCTCTCTGGCAACCAATTTCAATCTTCTTACTCATTGGTCCTTTCTCTACCCATTAAGTTTTCCAACTGCCCTCCATTTTTTTCTTATTTCCCCGTCTCTGTCTGAGACGAAGTTGCCTCTGCGCGATTGTTTACCATCTTCTCCTGTAACACTGTGGCGGTGATGTTTTTCTCCGTTGTTTCTTCTCTTTTTTGGAGAGTGGGTTTTGGTGGGTTTGTGTAATTGGCGTAGGGTGAGCCTGTGAATTGGATTGAAGGGACCGCAATCTTTGCAGTTTGAGATGGAGGATTGATGTTAAGGGCTTTATCAAGTATGGCTATGGCGATTTCGGGATACAGGGGAGGTGTGGGGCTTTCAAGGTAATTGAGGCAGGTGTCACTCAAGGCTCGAGATCTAGTTACTGGATGATAGAGATTGTGTGAGGGGTGAGATTGTGAAGTTCTGATGACATGGATTTGTGAATCGTGGGAATCCGGAGTGATAATTAGGGCAGGAGAGGAAGAGGCAGGGGAGAGGATGTCGGAGGTGGCCACGATGCAACAGGATAAGAGTAGTCCCTTGAAGCATGTCGGCCAAGATTTGGCTGAAGAACTAGATCGAATTTCCGATGACGAAGAGAATTGCCCACCTAGTTCAGTCATGGAAGACAGAATCTGGGGTGTACTCCCTCAAGAACTTCAAGACAGTCTCTTGGCCAGCCTCCCCATAGTTCACATTTTCCGGATGCGGACCGTCTGTAAACGCTTCCAATCTCTCACTCTGTCCCCCTCGTTTCTTAGCTCGTGGACCGCCCTCTCCACCCAAGAGCACTGGCTGCTCATGTTCCATCGTCAAGACACTGCCCCATGGATGTCCATGGCCGCATACGATTCCAATGTTAAGCAGTGGTATAACCTCCCCGTCCTCCGCCCCTTCTTCCCCAAACAGGGCAATGTCTCTCTGGCCTCCTCTCAGGGCCTCCTCTGCATCGCTTCCGTCGAAGAAACGCAGACGCTCGTAGTCTGGAACCCTCTAACAAACCTCTCCAGAGAGCTCCCCGGCATGATTATCAAGAACACCATGTGTGTAGGCCTCGTGGTAGACAATTCTACCAAAGAGTTCATAATCGTCGTCGTAGGTCAAACCGAAGATTGCCTCCAAACCACGGAGGTGTACGACTCTACTCTGGAGTCTTGGAAGAGAATGCAAACATCCCTAATCGAATGGTACGGGTGCTACTCCGATCCATTAGTCTACTGCAACGGCTGCTTCCATGTCATCTCAGCCCACAAGAACGGACCTTTCAGGTTATGTTTGGTCTCCTACGATCTAAAACAAGGTGTTTGGAAGGAGAAGTGTAAGCTCCCTATCACCGCAGGATTATCCTTCGCCAGCCCCTCGCTCTTCGAAGTCAAACCGGGGAGGCTCTTTCTCGCCGAAAGGACCTTCCCTGGACATAATCAAGCTTACGCTATCCATCTTTGGGAGCTCGTGCAGTCCGGAAGCAATGTCGAATGGATTCAGATTGCGGCTGTACCACCAGAGATCATCGAGGAGCTCCGGCGGGAGTTTTGGGTGTCGTCCTACTTCAAATGCCAGGCTATTGGCAACCTGGTGTGCTTCATTGGCAACAATGATTTCCGCGGACTGGTTTATGATTTGTCTTGGAAAGCTTGGCATTGGTTGCCACGCCGGAGAGAGCGGTTTTTTGATCACGTTGTATCCTTTGAGCCTAGGCTAGACATGCTGAGTGCATGATGTTTGTACAATTTTACATTTTCTTTTCGTCAATGATTTTTATATATTGACAGTTTCGATCTGCCCGTTGTAGAAATTTTAGGTTTTAGGCATCCAACCCCTTGAAGTAAGCGGGTTTTTTTGGCTTGTCAAATCAAACTGTCTTCTCCAAACCACATGGAAGTGAAGTTAATGATGGAGTTATTTAGACTTAGTGATGAGATGTTCCAGCAGGGTATAGTTTATTTATAATTGTCTACAGATTTTGAGGTTTGCAGGTGCTTGTGTGTGCTGTCTCCTGTTACTGGATCTGAGGAATAAACCCTGGGGTTTACGGGAAATAGCACTTATTGCTACATGCAACAAGGAGTTCTGTGAATCATGCATGAGTAGGGGTGGGTATTCAAGGCTTTCTAGACTGCGCTCAACCATGATCTTTGGAGCAGAGTTGTGTCTTGTCACGTGCATTTTGTGGTTCTGAAGATAAAAGAGATTGGGAGCGCCCGTTGCAATGCGCTGGCGAGATTGATGTCTTTCAATGGATCAATTTATGTGCCGCTTCTCGTAACAGTCGGTAATACCTGTTTCGACTCTGAGTGAGCAGTATTTAGTTAGATAGTCAACAGGGTTGATAGTGTTGCCTTAGTTCTCCCGAATTTGTTTATATCGTTTCCGAAGCATTCCATTCTGCAGAAACTTCGCGTAATTTACAGTTCAGTAGGAACTGTTGCATTTTCAGGGTTTCGAAGACCTAATCTCAGGACCGAAAATACAATTGCCTACTACAACTGAATTCTAAGGTTTTCCAGTCACCAAAGAGGGAACCTTATGAGGTCGTTTTTTATATGAAGATAGCCATCCTCAAGACAGCTAGTCAATTTGTACAGAAACGCGCAATGCCTTCTGCTCCTGCTTTGTGGGGCACTTGACTTGCCATCAGTCTGCCCCGAAGCCTTCTCAAAAGTAGCACCAAAACTTGTGAAGGTATAATTCAATTTAGACAAAAAATTGAATCCAAGTACTATTTAGTCGGGTAGCGAGCACATTCAAAAAAGTTTAGCTTGCCTTGACATGTAAATTGCACAAGTCAAGAATCCAAGGAATCCAATGAAGGAATGGGAGGAATACTGACGTATCTCAAATGGAAACGAGAATAGCAGAAGTTTAAACGAGACCGATAAGAGTGTACTTTTCGCCTGCAAGAGCATGAAAACAAACCACTGACAGTAAAAAGCGAACATTTCCATGGATGGTAAGCATGTTAGAGTATCAAACTTCAATTCCGAAGTGAACCTATGTAAGCCATACCTGATGCACACGTAATTAACTAAATGAAAAAATAAATGGTTTTTATATTGAGACAGTAGGCTTCAAGCTGTCCATAAAAGGGTCTATTTCCCCGTCCAACTTCGCTAATAGCATACTTGGTTTATCCTTCTCATTAACATCACTACTAGGTTCGATCACATTCGACAATGAGCCAGGTACGTTGATGCCGTACTGGATCCCCACTACATAAGGGATGATGGAACTTTCAGCTTTGTTAGGTTTACATACATCCCGTTGCGATTCGCTTGCAACTGTGGGATCGCCAGTAGTGAGCTGATTCAGGTCAGAGTCGCTAGCACTTGCACTTGCACTGGCCGTTGCCGTACTACACCTCAAAGATGTCCTGTTATTGTGCAACCATTGAACCAAGAGATCGTGGTGTTTGAAATTAAGGGGCTCCTCCCCTGAAGCAGCCAAAATATGCATGTATTTCTTGTGGTGTCTAACAAGGGTATTAAACTTTCGCTTACAAGCAAGAGGTGACCTTGTAAACCCTGGATATAGTGATAGCATACGAGAACGCAACTTTGACCACATATTCCCTCCTGCAGTAGACACCATGGAACTTGAAGAACAATATTTCCACTTGGAGATAATATTCACTGTTTGTGATAATGTCAAAAACGCAATTTTGTTCTATAACTTCAAATTTTATCTTCGAAACGAGCATCACGCATTCACTAAGGTCTGAGAACACATACCTTGTTTTTTCCAGTTCTTCACAAACTCCGAGTCCATCTCTTTCCGTAATCCAATTAAAGTTTCGACCTCACTGTCGGCCCAATTCTTCTTACCTTCCTCTCCTTCATCTCCTTCCCTCAAAAGTTTATTGCTCGCATCATCCAAATATTCAGTCAAATGTTCGGGGTTTCCGAGTGACTCAGAATCATTTGGACTTGCAGTGACATGCTTCATTACCGTTCCATTAGTGTGCCACCAGCGATCCAGGATATCATAAAATCTGTAATTGTAACGTTCTCTTCCCGACTCTTTCAGTTCAAGGATGTCCTTCTTGTGTTGTTTAATCAGTGCATTGAATTTTCGTTGGCAAGCAAGGCCTGACCGTTGGAACCCAGGAATCAACGACACCATACGCATCTGCAACTTAGACCACATGTCCTCACCTGCAATACGTACCCGAGTACAAAATCACTACGTAAGACTCGAGTTTATTTACCAAGTTAGTATGATCAAATCCTCTCGACTTAAGATTTAATTCCTTCTCTAACTATGGCATTAGCAAGGACAAGGTACCAAATGTTATGAGAAACTGCTTACCGGTTTATCTTATAAATTCCTTGCCAGAAATGGATTTTATCAGAATCACAAAAATCAATGAATATTCAAAGGTACTGCAGCAGCAGAAAAAAATACAGACAACTTTCCACCACAAACTAACATTTTCAAACTCCGACATTAGACACGGAACAAACAGCCATCGACTTTCCAAATACTCTACAAAACACACCTGTTTTGTAAGCATTCCCCACAAATTCAGGCTCCATCTCCCAACGTAGTGAAACCATAGTCTCCGCCTCACTATCTAACCAATTCTTTTTCGCTTCTTCCCCTTCGTCTTCTTTGACACTCATTCTTAAGTTTTCCTCTTTGTTTCCGTTGGTAAGTGCAGTATCACTATCAGAATGGTTTACGTGCATGGAATTTGCAGTAACATGCTTCATAACTGTCCCGTTCGTATGCCAGCACCGATCTAAACTGTCATAAAACTTACGTGCATGACGATCCCAAGTGTGATGTTTCCCTTCTTTTACGTCGAGTACATCTTTCTTGTGTTGTTTGATCAGTGAATTAAACTTCCGTTGACAAGCAAGACCTGATCTTGTGAACCCTGGAATAGCTGAAGACATTCGAGCTTGCAGCTGAGACCACATATCTACCCCTGAAATGCATAAATGACCATACACATCAACAAGGAAGGACATGAGCACACAGCTAATTCAATGTCTAAAGAGATGCACACATCTTAATTACGTAGTTCCAGAGATGTAGAGGCTCTTCAAACTAGGAGAATTTTGAATACTCAATATACTACGAACTTAGCACCTTGTTTGTAAGCATTTTTCAAGAAGTCAGGTTCCAGCTCCCAACGCAGTGAGATTAAAGTCTCAACTTCACTGTCCATCCAATTCTTCTTAGCTTCCTCCCCTTCAGCCTCTTCTTTAGCAATCAAGTACTTCCTTGAACTTCCCAGCTTCTTCTTGGTACTCGGAAATGGGACATACATCAATTGCAATCCATCATCTTCCTGTTACCAACACACGCATCGAAAAATGAACAACATTTCTTGCTTACTACTCGCATATTCGCAAATTCAATCAAATTTATGGTCCCTTACCAGAGTTATCCTGTCCAGGAACACATGCCAGAAGAATTAACACTAACCTTGTCTTCTAAAACTTCGCAGGCAGCACCTGAGTTCTCGGTTAAGTCAGCGGGAAACTCTGCATTCAGAACGTTGGAACGCATGTTCTGTGGTCTAATATAAATAGAGGCTGTAATGTCTGGAACCTCCATTGTGATCTTTTCTGCAGGTTTAAGTTCTTTCTGTTGGATGCATGTGAGTACTCGTAAAGCTACCCAATGAGCTTCACAAAAAACTCATAAAAATAAGTGATAAGGCAACAAAAGTCATCACTAAGAAACCGAACTAGGCCCCTGGTGCAAAAAATAGATAAAAGGATCGACAGAGAAGATGGATATGAAATGAAAAAAAAAAAAAAAAAAAAAAACGACGAGGCCATTTATTACCTTTAATCGCGAGACTTCGTCAAAATTCGCCGGCTTTGGTAGCAACGACCTAGCCTGAAAGAAGATGCAAGTAGTTGTCAACCGGGAACGAACACTCTAAACCGAGTGCATAAAGCAAAAAAAAGGGAATTGTTGATTCTGACCATGAATGAAAATAACGATACTGACCACAGAAGACAGTGGCCACTTGGACTGTCGCTTCAAGCTGCGCACAGTACTCTGCAAACGCAGAGTGCAAGTCCCACCTTAGGGGCAGAAAGTGTAGCTTTGATGTATCAGGAGTCACGAATTGAGCAAAAGTGAGGTTGCAATTAGAGAGTGTATTCAAAGCTAAATCATGCATATATTCTAAGGAAATTATAAAAGAGAAATTTGTCGCAAAGACATGCCAGAATTCAGGCATATGTGAGAGATCAGGACAGAACTACGATTGGGACCCACGACAATTCAACAATAAAATTCGGGCACCTGGAAGTGATAAATCACACAAGAGCAGTGTGCACGATAAGTGATGCATCGTACAACTTGGTGAGTTCGCACCTTATAGATTATTCTTAAGAGACGAATTTTAGTAGAACTCGTCAGGACTTCCACCAGATCCCACAAACAAAGAGATCTCATATTTCTTGTAAACGAAAGGCTGGAGTTCTAATGAAGACAAAATTCGTGTGCACCTTCAGACCCAAAATCTCGTGCTCTGTGTTGCCGAGCTTCACGAGTAAAGCGCCCTCCCTCCTCCTTGCAGTCAGTAGCTGCAGGATCAAGACCTTCCATGTTGAAATCACCAAAATGATTGGGTGAAACGGTGAAGAATGCAATTAAAACTTTCGTTTAAAAATAATGATGAATATAACCTAAAGTATTTTAGCTCACCTGCTCTTGCAACTGAACTTCGGAAGCCTGAAGCTTCTGTATCACCTGTACAACTGCTGCAGGATCTGAAGACAGAATTGTGAACATAAGCCAAAAGGTCACAGCATTAAAAAGAACATTTCCGACATCAAGATCAAAATGTTGCAACGAAGTAGCATCTAAAGGATCAAATGCTTATTCAACTTCTGAGCAGTGGGTGACGAAGACGAGCAAAACCAGATGTGCCAAGGAAAGTCAATAGGTGAATCGTTTCACATGTCGGAACACTATATTTTGCTCATGAATTAAGCTTTTCGTTTAAGACACGAACTGATGTAAGTTTTCTGTCCAATTGGCAAAAGAAAAATCGGCGGTTGGTGAATTAGGATCACCCTAAGGGTGCAGTTCGGCGAGGTCACTTTACCACGGCATCCCAATAAGAGTAAGGCATACGGGGAATAGGAAAGTCAGCGTTCTATGAGATGACGTACTCAAGTTCTTTGAGAAACCTAATTCAAACCCACAGCGTGCAAACCTGGAGTAGTTCCAGAGGGGAGAATGGAGTTATCGATGAAGGCCTGTTTCCACCTTTCCAACTCCTCGTTTGCATTACGAAGGGACGACTGCAATGGGAAATGAAATATGTATCAAAATGGAAAGTGCAAAGATAATAAAAAAATCCACCCTGATGGAGTACTTGATGTTTAATGGTGCTTTGAGAAGACACAGATTTATTAGGGAAACAAGTGCTTTGACTGGTACCTTCAAAGAAGCGATGGTGCTATCACATTCTTCAGACCTGAAATCCCACCAACAAGCCATAAGCTTGATTTATCAAATTCGGACAAGAAGAGAATCCAGACACATCCTCAAAATGATTCAATATACAGTACTCTGTCAGAAGAACAGTCGCACTTCGAATACCTGGCTTGTGGATTCATTATTGTAGTGGTGGCATGAATACTGCGGAGGCCAGGACTGGCCTTCATCTGGAAAGACGCAAAGGATAAGATAAATATGATAAGCAAAAAATTGCTCAGCTTCAGGCTACAGACAAGTGGTCCATGAGGTTTGGCCCTGATGGCCCCTGAAATAAGAACCATGTTTGCACAAGTTTGTCACTGATCACATACAACAAAACACTGATAACATCAACGTTCATGTCCATGAGGTGCTTTTCTATAAGACGAAAATTAAATATGAGTCCTCTTCTAAGAATCTCCCACAAACTGTGGATTCAGTTTCGAAATATCGTCACACCTTCTTGATGGGACTAGCATCATCTTCAGCGTCGTCCATGCCCGAGATATCCCTCTTAACGCCTGTGTCATTACAAGTCCATGATCCTTCAATGTCTTTTTCCTTGTTACGAATTCATTATAAAGAAACATAAATCATATTCAAGTCGGAATTCAGACAATGCAACTTTTGACGGTTCTGTGATGCTGTTAATCATATTCGGTTAACACACTCACAGCAAAAAGATATTAAACATCCTGAATAGTGCAGCTACCAATGTTATCCACTTTCAAGCACAAATGAGTGGTTGACTGCACCAAAAACATTAAGAGATCTTAAATAAACTCAAACCTCTTTTTAGCGTCGGACTTTTCAGAATTTAATCCACTCTAGACAAAACTACAGTGAATCCTGTTAAGTCCTTTTTGAGTAGGTTTAATTCTCGTTCCATCCGCGGCTGAAGTAACTAATTAGGGCCATCCTCTAGATCATTTGTTGAGGAGGACCTACCTTTCAAACTCTTTCCTGTAGTTACAAGGTCACTTTCTGTGGCTGTGATATCTTGAGAGCAGCATGATTCCTGCGTTGAATGCAATTTTGAAAAGATAAGAAAAGTAGACCCCTTCTCACACGGTCTTGTTTCAGCAAAACTATTTAACATGAAACGCGCAATTTTCTTCCTATAAGAGCAAGATCAGAAGAAAAAAACTCTTTTGAAACCAATTGATACCATCCTTACCGTCACTACCCTATTTCGTGTCATCATCAACCAATGTAAATCACATCCATAGTCCCTCCTCGACAAGACTTTGTGATTATACAATTATCCATTTGGCAAGAAAATCTATCATAATGAACTGAAAGCCACGTACACGTCTTCATTATATCACGCCCTAAACTCATTGATCCAAGAAAAACAAGACAAATTCCTTTAAACCCTTCGAAAATAACACAGTCTCCTTGGACGCTGGGCCTCAGATCCACTTGCAGGGTGCACCAGCCTCCGAAGCATCAAAATCAAAAGAGAATGAAAGACATCATACACGGCATCACCTGTTCAAAACCATGAGACGAAATCAAGAGTGACAGGACTTATGATGCTCCAGGGAAAGGAAAGGGGACGAGACAAACCTCGGAAGACATCATACACGGCATCACCTGTTCAAAACCATGAGACGAAATCAAGAGTGACAGGACTTATGATGCTCCAGGGAAAGGAAAGGGGACGAGACAAACCTCGGAAGGAGCGACAGGAGCAGCATCGGGAGAGGACATCGAGGGGCAGGATCGCGAGAAGAAGGGGAAGAAATGTCAGTAACGGCTTCTGCTTCAGAGCGGATGGCTCGTCGCTGATCCCGGCGCACGAGCTTTGGTGTATGTCAGTAACGCCTTGTCCGAGCCCGCGATGCAATACCAGCACAGCCCAGCACAGCTCAACACTACACAAGGCACGCGCGCAGGCTGCAGCGGCTGCGTCACTGAACGGCGCTAGTCAGCGTCCATCCGCGGCCTCTGTCATGCCGCTCCCTGTCACGAAATGAAGCTCTCTCTGGGTATCACACTCCAGATGATGCTCCTCTCGTTCGAATCTCCCAACTTCCACACTCCATACCTTCCCCCATTCTATTCTTGATCTTAGAGCAATTCCATTTTAATCATCTTTCGTCATTAACCACACATATTTATCAACGATATATGACATGCAACTTAAATTTGTCTTTCAATACCTCTGAATTCTGTTAAATGATAATAAATAGTATACTTGGTACATTTGGGTTTCTATTGTATTATATAAATGTTTTTTTTAACAATGGTGATGAACAAGACATAAAAAAAACCTTAAAATTTGCTTGAAGCTTTTAAAACTTAAATTTTTTTTACACTATATTTCTTAATAAATAAAACATTTTCACCATCATAAAAAGTCTCTTGCTGTTCTCTTACTTTACTTTTGTTATTATCTCACACAAATATATTGTACTACGCAAATGTAGCATACCAACAACTCCACAAGGGAATTGGAAATGAATCCTACATTAGGCCATACAAATTCAATTTACTACATTAAGTTCAAGTGAGTAATTTGTTGTTTGCCATCTTAACTCTCATGTGGATCAACAAACCAAAATATTAAGGATTTTAATTATTATTTAGCATTAGACTCTCTAAAATTACATTGAGATAAACTAATCATAATAATTTATACAAACTTGTATATACAAAAAGAAAAATAATATAAATTCTTTTAGATTTTAATTGATAATCAATTGTTAATATAATAGATTCAATGCCACCGGATTTGATAAAATGATGTAATCTACTTAGAAGCTCAATTTGTATTATTTTATTTCATTAAGGTGAATAATTGCACTTGAACTAGACTTGGTTGGTGGAAAAAGACGTGATAGCTCCAAAAGCTTCGCAATGTATTGCAATGAATGAATTTTCTACAATGTCAACATATACATAATCAAATTCTAAAATACATTTTAAGATCATTGTAAATTTTTAAAGTGATGATGGTACCATATATGGTCCACTATCACCATTTCTAATAACAATTCTTAAAAAATCTTTACTAGATTGCAAAATTGAGGTCTAATTCACTTAAGTTACTTCTTTTTTGTTGTAGATTCTTTACATGGTCAGATTTCTTGTATTTAACTTCAACATAGATATCAAATCTTTTACTATCACCATTTCTAATGACAATTCTTAAAAAATCTTTACTAGATTGCAAAATTGAGGTCTAATTCACTTAAGTTACTTCTTTTTTGTTGTAGATTCTTTATATGGTCAGATTTCTTGTATTCAACTTCAACATAGATATCAAATCTTTTACTACCAATATAAATACTAAGCATAAGATTGTTACTTGCAAGTTGATCTTTATGCTTTATTGAAGCTGATTGACAAAATAATTACGTTGTTGATATTTAAATTGATAGTATTATTCTAAAAAAAGTACAAATGTGACAATTTATGAAGTAGTTGAGATATGGTTTGTATATGCTCAAGTTAATTGAGATTTATAAAATTGATTAAGAATAGGAATTTTATAATAAAGTATACTGCAATTAGTCTAATTGTTATGCAACATGTACAAGCCTTGTTTTTGATAAAACCAATTATGTGTCAAAACTTAAGTTAGTACACTTGATATAATATCAAACTCAAATATTTGTATATAATTTAAAGCTATTGCATATAAGTTAATATGTTTTGTGTTTAACTTATATACAAATTTTAATATAAGATGAATTTAATTCAATAGAAATATACAATTATATTAAAATATTGATGTAGCACTAGATTTCTAATAAATCAAGATTTTTTTTATTAATCTTATGTAAACTAGTACAAAAAACGCAACATTATTGTTTTAAATGGAAGTTTTATAAAATAGTAGTAGAATCTTGTGTTTTTAAATTCTAGAGTTTATTAGCATCAAAACTATTTATGTTTCCAAGTATTAAGGATTGTCTTTACAAGACATTAGAATATATGACTTTTGTAGGAGAGAGAAGATTTATCTATTTCTTTCAATATTTGAGCTAGCTATTATGTTTTGTAATCTTCAATTGTCAATGATGAGAATTTAAGAAATAAAAATAAATAAATAAGATATATATCAAAAAAATAAAAATGATATATATTCAAGAAGAAATTAGAAAATCTATTACCAAAAACAAGAAGACTAGAGACTCTTGAAACTAGGATAGAAGCAAGAAAGGCATTAATAAGAGTAAAGAAGGCGTCATTTTTGCTTCCAGATGTACTATCTAATTAAGGAATTATGTTCTTTAAGTCATCTAACATGTGTCTAAATTGCAAAATATGTGTTTAACTTGCAAAAGACGTTTCTAATATGAACACAACATCGCCAATATGAATAACATGTGGATAACTTGTAAAAAAGTAGTCAGCACATATTACAAGTTTTCAACTTGTTGGCCAAGTTTTTAACCTATTAATCACCTACAAATACTTCTAAAGTCAAATTTGCATCTATGAAGCTTCTAAAAAGTTTTTGACTAAGATATTAATAAATTAAGTTACTTTAATGTACTTCTACTTAACTCTTCTTATCCTCTTAATTGCTAATATTAATATTAATATTTGTAAGATAAATTTATGTGAAAAAGATATATAAAAGCCTTAAGCTATTAACATTTGACTTTTTAATTGTAATTTAAAAAGTAAATTGTTGCATTCAATAGCAAAATGAATAACTTAATTTAAAATTTGAAGATCAAAGAAAGTGAACAATAATCTCTTTATATCATCTTATATCATATAAAAAAATTGACTAATGAGTGCAAATTATCAATAGCTAATTTTCTAAATTGTCATACATATGTTGTCAAAAATCAATTTTTTTTATTGTAATTTTTAGATTTTGTTAGTTATTACAGTAATTACATTATGTTTATAATATTTATATATGATAATCAATATTTTGCCAAAAATGTATCTAAGTTATCTGATATAGAATTTTATTATTTTAAAAATAATAAAAACTAAAAAGAACAAATTTGTTGAATAAAATTTTGATAAATTTGATCTAAGATGCTTGAGCTTTAAAATAAATAAGACTTTGAAGTTGAATAAAATTTTGATAAATTTGATCTAAGATGCTTGAGCTTTAAAATAAATAAGACTTTGAAGTTGAATAAAATATTATATTTAATTGATGTATTGTCAAAACTTAGATCTAAAACCATCAAACTTTTTTAATTTATACTTTCTTTTATTAATAAAATCTATTATTTAAACCTTATTTAAACCTTATTATTGAAAGTATAAAATCTATTATTAAATCTTTTATAAAATTATTAATAAAAGAGAGTATAAATTAAAAATTAAAAATAAGGTTTATATAATCAACTTTGCAAAGATAAAAGAATTATTTAAACCTTATTATTTAAAATATATTATAATATAAAATAATTAATAGATTGCATTAAATATTAATGCAAAAAATACTAAACATATTAAATAATATTAAACTATATGAAAGCTTTTGGATTGATAAGAAATCTAAAATTAAAACATCTATTTTTTTAATTAGAAACATCTTTTAAATATGCTTATAAAAAATAAAAATAAAATTATCAAAAAAGCATAAAAATTTAACCTATTATTAAAATCTTATAATGTATATATTTCTTATTATTACAATTTTACTATCAAAATTTTAAAAAGCCCTTAAAAATACATTTAATTTAAAATATTTATTTTTAGTAAAAATAAACAAGTTTAAAGCTTTAATGACAACAATCACACTATCATAAAAAACCAAGTAATAATTTAATACAGTCTTTTTAATACTTTTGTAATTTATTACATTTGATTTTATTGAATTATTTATTTTTAATTATAATGTACATATTTATATATGTAGATCCAAATGAAATATAAAAAATTATGGCATTTGAACCAATAATCTTTCTAAATTAAATTCTAAATTAGTATTTAGGCTGGCTAATAAAATATTAGACCTTTTAATTGTCATATTGATTTTAAATGAAAACCTTTGATGACATATTATTGACCAATTTAAACCAAAAAAATTACTTGTGTTTTGGTCTCATTTCTTTGCCTGCACAGACAAAAAAGTTATGAGTTGCACACAAATAACATCCAAAATCTGTACAGATACTTTCTTCAAAATAAAATCTCTAACATTTTAATGCTAAAGGTGTCCTTTTCAATATACACATCAGGTTCTAACGCATTTCAGAATTATGATAAGAATCTTATTTTGTGCAGCTCATATCTCGACCTCAAAATACAGTGACTTAAATTCATGCAGCTGTGGACATATGTACAGACCAAGAAAAAAAACGGACCTTAAAGCAATGTTGTAGAGCTTCTCTGAGAGCTTGGTTTTGTTGCCTCAAAGAAATGACTTCAGACGTTAAGTACACCCTACCACAGCAGCCATATACACAACTGAATATTTCAATGTATAACAATTATGAAACGCCCTAATCAAGTAAAAACAGTAGCTCTCTGCCAAAAACCAAAGGTTACAAAGACATCTTCCGCACAATAAACTCTAGTTACACTTTGAGCATAAAGGACAAGGAAGCAGGACAAGCCTGTACCGATCCTTTAGAAGTTTGTTGTAAGCTAGCAATCCTTGCTCAAGGTGGCCCCAGACTCGCAGTGTTTTAGAGTTGATAACAGTGGTGAAACTCTTCCAGTAATTCTCCCATTTTAGCTTTTTAATTCCTTCTTTATCAAGCATTGTGCCTGGCGGGGCCTTCGGATCATGCACTATATTTTCAACTGCTCCTCCCTGATTTCTAACCCTTTCAGATTCATCGTGCAAATAAATACTTAGGTACTTATCCAGATCGTTATCTTTTAATTCCGATTCTTGACCTGTAAATTACCCAGATGGCCAACAATCAGAAAATTATATCTTTTGGAAACACTGGTCCCTTAAATAGACAGCACACATGTGATTCTTCACTTACGAGACTTTGTCACAAGTACAATCCATATCCAGTACTCTTACATTGACATGAAACGATTTTAATCACTTTGATTCTCTCATGTGTCCATGAAGAGAGATAAAACAGCTGTCAGAACCTGTAAGAGCAATTAGAAGTTTCTCAAGACTGGCTCCATTCTTGATTCCTAGCGTGTGCAAGATAGACACGCATTGAACCCAGTCTTGATGGGCAGGAAGGAGCATAGGAAGCGACTCTCTGGTTTTCTCATCAACCAGGAAGAAGGCTTCGTCACATAAAGTTCCTAGCAGCGAAGCGTATTTTTCTTGACTCATGGTGTTTGCCAGATCATCAAGTACTGGAGGCTCTTTCTTCGGCCCATCGTCTAGAATTTCGTTAGAGCCTAGATCGATGAATGCATAGTCGCTAGGAGCTTGCCAATGCCATCCCAGCTGATTCTCATGGATATCCTTGTCTGCCTGTTCACCCTCTCAAACCTTAAATTACGCGAAACTACTAACAAAATTGAAACGAAGTTATCGAAAATCGAAATGCAACTAGTGAGATTTGAAGCGATGGAACGGTAGAGCAAGAATCACGGTGCTCAACAACACATATTTGCTTTGGATTCATGACAGGATACGCACTGTTTCCGCGGAAACGCTCTAACGACAATTTGGTGTCCAGAACAATGAACCTGAAGGATCTTGGAAACGAGGACAGAAAGACCACGCTGGTGCATAAGAAAGAAATTGCGCCTAGTGGTTGCATGAGATTTTAGAAGCCCTTTCTCTTTTGATTGTAGGTCTTGCAAGAGCTTGGTGATCTGAGCAAAACTGTGTCCCATTTTCGAGTTGTCGGTATTAAAGCGCTTTTCTAGGTCACCGTATCGGCCTCTGAGGAGCTGCAGTGTGTCTCGTTGCTTGTTCAGCTTCCTCTTCTGTTGGTTGGCTGTGACGTAATTCTCACGGTCTCGTTCAAGCAACACCAGGTGGTTATATTCCAACTTCTCTGCATTGAATTGATAAACTGCCTGCATGTTGTAAAACACCAACAAGTATGAGGACTTCAGATAAATGCACTGTAAGACTGCAAAGCAAGCCCTGCAAGAAATATAGAGGAATTACAGGGAAAAGCTCATTTGCCTGCATGGTTGCATGGTGTTGCTCAAGCGTCTGCATGTCCGTCTCCAACCGCACTTTGAGATTATTGTAGTCCTCCGCATCAGCGTCACGGATATCCTCAAGAGCTTTGGCGAATTCTTCTTTCTTGGCCATCATGTCTTCTTGATACTTCTGTTCCATGTCTTGAAGGTCTTGTATCAACTTTGACATCTCTTCCTTATTGCTGTGAGGTAAAGCAAAACACAAGTAGATAACATCGACTAATAGCTCTCCTTTACAATCCTCAACAACAAAGTGACATCCGGAACAAAACCAGCTTTGAGAAGGAATAATTGGGAACAGAGTTTGCGAACCTAATAAGAAGAGCTGCTCGTTGCTCCAGAAATGCGAACTCGATGTCTGTCAATTCCTTTCTATGAACATCGGTCAACATAGTTACCTGTCCACAAAAACAGTTGGTCTTTATTCCTTACAAGGAGCTGCATATGATGTTGAATAGAAACAAACCCCACTTCAACGCACCAAACATACAACATTTTTCAAGGACAGGAAAAACAAAAATTAGCTGCATCTAATCAGGACATTTTTTTTCATTTCTTTTCTGACAGCAGTGTAAAAGGAACATCAAAGAACACCATCTGTTAAACACACCAACTATAGAGGGAAAGCATGAGCTTCGGACCTGTCGTGCCATAATGGTACACAGGTCATTGAAGTCTTTGGCTTGTTGCTCGATGGCAACCTGGTATTCCTCGTCTTTGAACTTAAGCTCTGCAACCATCTCATTAATGACCGCGTCTTTGGAGGCTAGCACCGCATCACATGCCTGTACATCGAAAATAATTCGGTTAATGCAGGATACGCACCTCATTTACTTGTGAGAAAAAGCACAGAAAATCAAGGCAAGGCCATTCAAAGAGCCATATCAGTGTGTCAAACCGTACTATGTCAGAATTTTTCATTATATTTGTTCGACGATGCAAGGTGGCGAAGCCACCAGGTCATCGGTGAAAGGTTAATACCTACAGTTGACGATCGGTATGGATCAAAAGTTGGTGAGACACCTTCTTCTGCTCGGCCATCTGTGTGGCCATTTCTTGCGGGACTGCACAATCTAGAACTACTTTCCATTTCTCAGCTATTTCCTCGTTATGCTTACTGCTTTCTTCAACTTCCAGCTTCATCCTCTTCTCAAGCGCCTGAGGAGCTCACGATATTAACCTCAGAAACATTAGTAAAAGAAACACCAATTGATGCCGATAATTGTTATGACAGTAATATTGATGATAACATTAAACACTATTGAAGTACAAAGTACCCCTCTTTTACTCGTTTCTTCCATTCGATGCTCGTACTCCCGAAGATCTGCACCGTCTCGCAGACTCTTCACTTCATCCTTGAGCTTTTTCTGCAGATCGAGGAACCAGAACAGGAAATCAATTGAATTCAAATTTCATCGCCTCCACATAAGGTGGTGTCACGAGTAGCTTACAGGGGATCAAAAATTGAATCCATACCCTGATTTCAGAAAGACAGTGAAGGCTCATCGACAGTTGTCTATCGCCTACGCCTGCATCCTTCTCGATTTCTGCTCTTGACTTGCGGTCTGCGAAAAATCGCCAAAGAAGCAAAAAGAGCAACAATATCTTCAGATAGCTTTATATTCACTTTTAACGTTTTCCATAGCATCCGGTACGTACACAGAAAAAAATTACGACATCTTTGACTTTCCATGATTGAACATAACAACTTAGAAAATCAAACTACTTCTCAGAAAATTAGGGATATAGAGTAGACAAAAACTTGGATCATTCACAGCACTGAGTGATCGCAGAATATCAGAAATTGGATGTGAATCAGACATTCAGAGTCTACAAGGATGTTCACTTATATTATGTAATCTGTTCTTATTGATTTCATCAGTACTCTCTGGCATGAGATTTCACTATACAACAGAGAGGAAATGAGAATAAAAAAACTGCAAACCAATGTAAGAGTCCACCAACAGAAAGACCAGACGAGCAAGGGAACACTCACGATCTTTTTTAGCACTATTAGCAGCCAAAAGCCTGGCTGCGACACGTGCTCTTCGAACTGCAATACGGCTCTCCCGAGCGGCTAACTCCGCCATCGCTGCCCCTTCTCCGTGCCGTTTCGGATTCTGTCGCACAATCACCAAATCAATTCCAGAGGCAATTCTGTCGCATCCCTGCCCAGAAGAACTCCAGGAGATTCGTCAAAAGCGCAGGAGCTGATCTGGTTCCGGGTGCAGAGGTACAATATAAAGAACAATGAGGAAGAAAAGAGGAGGGAGCGTGATGTCGCTTTGGAGCAAAGCCCAGCCAGCCCGGGGCAATTGTGACGCTACAGTAGCAGCAGCGGCAGGAAGGATGGGCGGGAGGGACTTGACAGATACCTGTGGGTGGATGGATGGGTGGATGGATGGGTGGATGGATGGGTGGATGGAGAAAGGCATCCAGCTGCGGTCAAGAGTGGGCAGGGCAGTCATGTGAAAGCAGTTATTTCGTTGTTCATGGCCAGGGGATGGGAGGGGGGAGGGGATGGGAGTGTAATTGAAAAATATATTAGCAAAACATGGCTAAAAGATATGGAGGTAGTAAAAAAATTTAGTGTTAATGTTTTTTTTATTTTAAAAAAGACTTATATTTACTTTGTACAATTCTAATTAAGACAAAACAAAGTAGATTAAAAAAATGAATGATAAAGGCATCTTAAGGATAGAATTAAAAGTAGTTTGTACCAAAATATACCTTAAAAAAACTAAAATCTGATACCCAAAGAAGACCGGTTGTGACCTTGGGTGAAAATCAAATGTGAAGACACAAAATTGTGCATCTATGGCAATTCTTGAATTCTTTTTCTCATTAAAGAGCAAGATTAGGAAAAAAAACTTTAAGAGGTTTGTTTCAGCATTAGTTTTAAGTAATTTGGATAAAGTTTGAGTTTCTAAGAGCTTTTTAAAATTAAAAGTATTTTTAGTGATTTTAATTTTTTTAAAATAAAAAGAAGTTTACATATTTATAAAATTTGTGAGTAATGTAGCTAATGGAAGAGTGAAAAAATTTAGGTTTATAAATGTATTTATCTTAAATACATTTTACAAATTTAAGATCAATCAAATGATTAAACAAGAGGATTAGAAGACATATTTGACTAAACTTACTTGATAAAAGTTAAATCAATAGTTAATATTGATTTTATTGTTCAAAGATGAAATTGTTCTAGCTTCAAGAGAATAACTTATTATTGATCAAAAGCTACATTTTTTGCTTTTGGCACAAGATAAGAATGTCTAGAAAGAGCATTTGACAAACCTTATTGTTTTTATAATTAATAAGTGATTTTGATTTCAAATCTTGACAAAGATATGTTCCAATAAGTTTTGTAACAATTCAAAACATGTACAAATACAAAATACTTAAGGTTCTTATGATTTGAATAAATAATCACTAGTTTTGAAGCATCTTTTAAATAATAGTGCCATTTTTGAAATGAATCTATAATTGCAAGAAGTTATTTGTCATAAATCTTGTAATTGTTCTTAGCTACTAAAATATTTCTTGAATGAAAAGAAATAGGAGGAAGTTTGTTATTTGTTCCTACTAGTGACAATATTACATTCAAAGCAAAGTCAAATGCATTTTTTTTTATAAAACAATTCTTGAAGAAGTCAATACAATACTAGATTAATATAAAAATAAAAGTTATCTTTAATGCTTCAAAAGATGCTTCAGCTTCTTTCTTCGACTCAATTTTCTCTTTATATGTCAAACATGTAAGTAGAGCTACAATTTGAAAAAACGTTCTTAATGAAGATCTAATAGTAATTGAAAATTTAAAAAAAAATTAGATATTTTTTATTATTATTGAAATCTTTTAATCCATGATAGTCTCAACTTTGTTAGCCTCTGTTATAAGGTAATTATTTGAAATAATATATCCTAAAAAATCAACTTAAGTATGTTAAATATACACTTGTCTATCTTCTTATATAATCTTATATTTTTAACTTTTTGTAACACATAACAAATATAAAATTTATATTTTTTTATATTCTTAGAAAAGATTAAAATTTTATTTAGATAATAAATAATAAAATCATCTCAAAACTCTCAAAAGATATTATTCATTAGAAGTTGAAATAATATTGATTCATTTGTAAGTTAAAAAAGCTTAATATTATATTTAAAATACTTATAATTGGTTTAAAATATAGTCTTCTATTCATATTCTTCTTTTTTGCATATTAGATTGTATACTCTTTATAGATCTATTTTAATATACATCTTGAATTGATTTAATTGATCAAGAAGTTAGATATCAAAGATAAAAGATATCTATTCTATTACACACATTCAACATGAAAATTTTAGAAATATATTTAGAATATTCTATCAGATTGTAAAAGATTTTAAAATATTCTTAAAATATTATAATAGAAGGTTCTAAAAGATTTTCAAAATATTTCAAAAAATTCTAAAAGGTTCTTAAAATATTTCAATAAATTCTAAAAAACTTTAGAAGGATTATAGAGTTATTTTGTTTCCAAGCAACATGAAAATTTTTCAAGAAGCTTCCTAATACCTAATATATATTAGAATCAAGTTTAAAAGAGTCCTTAGTCTTGACAACATGTTTCTTCGAGTTCTAGCTCACCTCTCTTAGTGTTAATCTTGTACTCATTTAATTTAATTAAGTTCATGTTAGTTTTTTTCTAAAAATTCTATTATTTAGCTTCTTGTTTAATCTTTTGTATAATATATTTGTGATAGTTTGTTGACATTACCTTCTTATTAATATTGGATCTTGATCTTTTTTGATAGAGAGTGGATTATTTTTCTTCTCAAAGGCATGAAAATACTTTAGAGATTACAGATTATCTTCTTCTAAAATATTATTATTATTACTATTATTTTTAAATGACTAAAACTAAAGATGTTAGTATGGTTGAATCTATTGAGTCTAAGTTAGATTCTATTACAAATACACTAAATTCTTTATCTTGTAGAATAGTTAAAATTGAGAGATTTTTTTGAGATTTTATAGTGATGGAAGATTTAGAGCAATCTAGCTTGTAATGCAATTACTTCTTCAAGCTTTTATATCCAAAGAAGCAATGGCTCTTATACTTAAATGAAAAAAGTGATATATTTAATAGCATAAAGAATCTTGAATTAATCTTCTAAAAATGTATGATGACACATGTTTCAAATTTTAAGGATTTATTAATTAAATTTTATTGATAACTTTTTTACAACTTAAGTGCTACCTATTAAAGGATTTGCAAGTTGATTGAGTTGAAAATTTGTTCATAATATAAGCCTTATCTTGATTTTTTCCTTTATTTAAAAAGAGATCTTTAATCTTAAGTAACATTGAAGCTTTTTTAGACTTATTTGTAGAGATATTTAGAAAATATGATAAGGTTTAATGGACAATAACAAAGATTTGTTTATTATGTCAAGAATCATGGTCTATATTAGTTTATGTATTTCATTTCAAGTAATTAGTTTGTGACATGAATTGGAATGAACAAGCTTTAATGAGTGAATTCTATGCAAGATTAAGAAATGATATAAAAAGATATTATTATCATTATTTAATCCTCAAATATTCAATGAAGCCATCAACTAAGTTGTAAAGTATAATAATCGATTATTTTAATATTATCAAGATCAACACTTATAGGCTTTAATAAAGCAATGTACTAAAAATTCTTACTTTGCTGCTTCAATATTTACATAGCTTCTACACTTTCAAGCTGAGGATATGCAAATTAATACAGTATAATTCAAAATTCCTATAGGATAGAAAAAGAAGTATCAATTTGAATAAGATTTATATTTGTATTACAGTAAAAGAGGCTATAAATATGAGAACTGTTTAAAGAAACAACTTATAATTAGGACTAAGAGTGCAATTATTTAGAAAAACAAAGAAGCCTTGCTACAATAGGGACCATGCAATTGGACATTCTAATGCCTCAAGTTCATTAAGGTCCTTCTCTTTCTATCCAATCTATGTATTGTTTTATTATATCCTTATTTTTTAGTCTACAAAAACTTCAAATACATATCTTACTAGATTCAAGAGCATTTGCTTATTTTTAAATGAAGAATTTATTAAATTACATAAAATTCTTGTAGTACAAAAGTCAAAACCTATACATGTAGAAGTAATAGATGGTCAACCTTTATCTTTAGATAATATTACTTATGAGAACATACCACTATAAATATCATTTAAAAACTATAGTTAAAAAATAATATTTAATATTATTAAAATCTTATCTAATCCTATTATTTTATGACTTTGTAGTTAAAAAGCTATAATCCATCTATAAATTAGAATTTTCATAAGATTAAATTTTTTATAGAATTCCTTTGAATAAAATCTATCAAGAAGTGATGAATAACAAAGCTTTTATTTGTTAGAATAAGAATTTTAATAAAGATAAGTAAAAAAGAAATATTATTTATAATTTATACAATCTTAACTCATAAAGAAGCAAGCTTGTTAGTAGCTATCTCAAATTAATGTAAGTAATTTCAAGATGTCTTTAAAAAGAAAAATATTGATATATTATCAAAGCATGGATAATATGATTTTACTATTGATCTTTAAAACAAGGCTCAATCACTATTTGGCCAAATCTACAATCTATCACAAAATAAGCTTTTAGTATTTAAGGATTACATTGACAAAAATCTTGCAAAAAACTTTATTTAACATTCTAAATTTCTAGTAGGTGCATTTATACTTTAAAAGAAAAAAAAAGATAGATCTTTATAAATGTTTGTTGATTATTTTAACTTCAAAAAAATAATAGTAAAGAATTGTTATCCATATAATATGTTCATAAATCTTGGTATATGTTAGAATGGTTAAAAAATTAATTTAAAGAGATTGGATATAAAAAACTTTATTTTGAGTTTTATCTATTTTGATTATAGCATTTAAAAAAATTATAGGACCTAAATATTTAGTATGAAGCCTTGAGAGGAGATTAGAGCCTAAAGATGAAAATCTTAACTAATAGGAGATTTATTGGCAGAGATGAAAGTAAGACATGGTCAGATGAAGGCAAGGAATAATGATCTTCATTTATATTGGTCGAAAGCTATGCTCAATGGACTTCAAGGAGGTTACTCGAGGCCATATTAGGGATTAGGGTTTTTTTTTTTTTGAAGTCATTTGAGTTTTGGAAGCTAAAGTCAACAAATTTAGGTTTTTGGATATAAATTAGGTATAAATTTTGTGTGATTTGAAGTTTTTATGAAGGAGTAATTGGAGCTCAAAGTTAAGGTGTCAATTTCATACTTATTGTCACTCTTTGGAACATTACA